GTTTGCACTCGTTCTTCCATTTGTAAGATGAGGGGCTCAGAGTAGCGCCCCCCCCCCCGCCCTCCCTCTTCCTTCTGACCTGAGAGATCTCTCCGTGAGAAGTTCAGAGTGTTTACAACTTAACTCCAATAACAGTCAGACAGTGGTGCCTCTTCCCACGCCGTACCACGAAGGGCCTGTTCTGCGAGCAGCTAACTTCTGCAGAAACTTCTTGGGCAATAGTTGAGGATACAGTGGTGTCCCACTTAAACTGTCCTGTCACTGTGCGTGGCTTCTCGCTAACTGTGGCTGCCCCATGCATGACTGTCATGTAGGCAAAATGTGTCTCAGGCACCAATCCACTTCCCCTTACCACCCTCCCTTTATTCAAAACCTACCACTCCTGCTGCCTTTTCCCAGGGCCTGGCTCTCAGCTTGTTGCCCATAAACTGGTTCACAGTGACTACTAATCAGCACTAGGTCTCTCCCCAAGCTCAAGCATTTTAGCAGCCAGTAACCGGCTCCAAAGCAGCTGCTGTCTGCACCTCAGGGGCAGAGACTGAGGAGGGACAGGGGTAGATGGAACAGTGGGGACAGGGGAGGGGTGGGGATAGATGGAAGAGCAGAGACCCGGAGGAAGCATTTGCAGTCCAACAAATGAGGCTCTGAGATCTGCCAGATCAGCCAGCTGGGCACACTGCTCTGCTTTAGCTTCCTCAAGGGTGAAATGGGACGAAGGTCATTTCCTCAGGGGCTCGTTGTAATGATTCAATGAGGTTCACGTGCAAAGTGGCCTGGGACACAGGGTTCTCAATGACTATTAAAAATGAGCTCCGAGAAGCAGGGAGAGGTCTGTCGCGTCCCTGCTCTCTGAGCACCCAGCACAGAGCCTTGTGGAAGCAGATTCATGAAGGATTGTGGGTGGCCGGGGGGAGCACGAACGGAGGGCGCCTTCGGGTAGGTACGGGGTGACCGCGAGCTTTATTGCTTGGGGCCTCTCGGGCTCCTCCTCGAGACAGGCCCGCGTGGAGAGGGGCTGGCGCCTGCCTATGGCATCGTCCTGCGGCTGCCTAGAGCGCTCCTGGCCAGAAGTAGGGCAGTCGTGATGGGGTTTTGAGGTTGGTAAAAAAAAAAAAAAAAAATGCGGCAAGGATGGAAAAATAGACAATCTTCACATCTCAAAAGAGACCAATGCTTATGAGGAGAGGTTCGTGGGGTATGTGGGAGTTCAGTCCTGCAAAACATAGACCTGAATGAGCATCTTCTATTCCAGAGACCAGCTTAGGGGTCCTGAGTGAGGCTCAGACTCCCTGTGCCTGGAATCAGACGGGAAGGGAGGGCCCTTCCTGGGGAGAGAGGGGGGTATGGGCCGCACGCATGCGCTGTGGGCTTCCCCTGGTCCAGCAGAACTCATCTACCTTCGGAGACTCTTGGCCGAAGGTCATAGGGGCCACGGTTTCAGCTCTTGCTGCACGAAGCTGGTGGGAGCCTCCTTCCTGGGCTCTTTTCCTGAGCTGTGCAGTCCTGACCCCAAGCCCCTCCCCTGCCGGCTGTGGTCCTGACCAGTCACCAGAACCCATCCCCCTCACAGGGGTGGGGTTCAGTTTCTCTCCCTGCCCCCAACCACGCAGCCGTGAAAGGTAGCAGGGAAGGAAAGTTGGCTTTTCAATGGTTAAACAGATGTGTAGTCACAGAATAGAGAGCAAGTAAGAATCACTTTTTAAAGGAAACTGTGGTTGTGTTACGTTTACTTGAGAACTGACTGAGCCTGGACTGACTGCTGCCACACGTGTCTGTGTCGGGGTGGGATCAACTGGACGCATCAACTGGACACTTACCGCTTCAGTGTGCACGGGTAGTGGGCCTCATCTCCTATGCTAGATGCTCTCTTCCCCACCTTCTAGGGAAACTTGCCAATCTGTGACATCTGTGTCTCTATCTTCTGGAGGATTCAGGCACCCTGTTTCCTCCCCCCTCCCCTGTTCTCGTTCAAATGGCATCTGGGGACTTTGAGTACTGGTTGGGGGGGGGGGGACTGAGACCCTCACTGGGCTCCGCTGCAGTGGCTGGGCTGGCCTGGCTTCCAGAATTGTCAGCATAGAAGGTCTCTTGTCCCATTTGGCTCAAAGCAGTCATGCTGGCTTCATGTGCTGTCCTTCCCATGGGCCTATTTGTCCACCCCCAGGCCTCAGACAACTCACCAGGTCTGGTGTCATGCAAGAGACCGGAGTGTGGCTTCCCACTCCCCTATCAGCCACTGTCCTCCAAGGCAGCCTGTGGCCCTGTGGGGTGCCGAGCCCCTGAGACCAACACTTCTGAGAGGCTTGCAACCAGCCCAGGCTATGCTGAGGCATAAGCTTTCGCCCCCCTCTTTGCACCCATCCTGATGTTCCCACATCTCCCCTCCCCTTATGGCTCAGTTGGGTGGAGAGGCCAGGGGGTGCAGGGATAAGGACCCTGTGAATGACCCCTCCGCATTCTCCCTCCATCTCCTTTCTTTTCTCAGCTTCCACTGGGGAGGAAGGGGCTAGCTTTCTACTTCCTCTTTTATTTATTTTTTTAACCACAGACAGCTACACTGATATTTCCTCCTTACTGTTTGCAGAAGCCTCACAGCTCAGCCGCAAGGACCAGGGCTCTTTTCTCTAACCGGGAAAGGGCTGGGCGACTCGGTTCCGATCGCTGCCGGAGCTTAGGAACGTCCGACTCTTCACAAAGCCCGACTTCCAATACTGTTGATCAAACAAGCCCCTTTCCTCTTTACAAACCCGGACCTATCCCTATCGCCTCCGAGGACACAGCCGGACAGGCCAGGGACGAGAGGAAGCACAGTAATGAGAGATGGAAATGTCATCCTTGCCCAGACAGGGGCCACTTCTGAAGGGCTGACCGCCCAGGGGAGGGAGCGAGTGTCATGGGGACCCCTGGCTCCCCGAGAACCCAGCCCTGCCTCTCCCACCTCACTTCTGAGACTCTCCCCTTTGCTCACTCCGCCTGCTTCAGTCACACTGTCCCCTCTTTGCCCCCAAACACGCCAAGTCTTTCCTGCATCGGGGTCTTTCCAGCCTTTGCCTGGGCTGCTCCTCCAGCTGCTCACAGACTGGTTTCCTCCCAGTCGTTTATTTATTCAACGTGTTTTATTAAGTCCTTACCAATTGTCAGGCACTGTGCTAGGCGCTGGCAATTCAGTGGGGACCAGAGGAATGTGTGATTTAGAGAAGGGAAGTCCTGACTCAGCCTCGTAACTGGGAATCTGACGGGGCAGAGCGGCCAGGGATGCTGTCCTAAGGAAGAGAGAGAAGCCGAGACCTGCGGGAGGAAGGGGAGTAGACTGGCCTAGAGGAGAGAAGTGGCTGGCGTGGTGGCTCTGTGGCGGGAGTGGAGGAAGGTGCACGGGCAGGACAAGGGCTGAAGGAGGTGCAGGAGGGTGAGCTGGGAGCACGGAGCACAGGCTGTATCCCATCCACAGCTAAGTCCAACTGGTTTCGCATTCTCGGTATCTCACACCTATGCACGTATCTGCCTCTACAGCAAAACCGCCCCGACCTCCATCCACTGAGTCTGAGCATTGCTCTCAGGCCGCGTTGGTCCCTTGCAGCCGTGTTCAGCTGCCTCCTCCCCGTCGCTTCCACGATGCGGCATTCTTCTGGTTCACACCCTTTCTGTCTTGCTGGGAGACTGTCCTCTCCATCCGTGACCAGCTATTGAGTTCCAGAGTTCCTTCGGGTCTGGCTCTGGGCCTCCCACTCTCTCCCCAGGCAGTCAGACAATTCTCTCCAAGCGCTGGCTTCACCTGTTGCTTAAACACAGACAACAACGCATTTTGTCACCCAGACCCCTCTACGGAACCCTAGCTATTTACTTAACATTTTCACTTCGAGGTCACAAGACCCCTCCAACTCAATATGTGTCCACGACCAGACCCGTAGTCTTTCCCTCTAAGGCCTGTCCTCCTCCAGAATTCCCTGTCTCAGTGAAAAGCCCACCATCCAGTTATACAAACAGAGATCTGAAAGCCTCCTCAAAGCCTTCTTCTCTATCATCCCTGTATCCAATCACTGCATTCTGGAGGTTTTACATTCATCTTCAGATAGAGCGGGAGGGAGAGAGGGAGGAAGAGAGAGAGAGAAACATTGATGTGAGAGACACATCGAGTGGTTGCCACCCACACGACCCCAAATGGAGCCAAGGACAAACTGCAACCAAGGTACGTGCCCTTAGTGGGAACCGAACCCAGGACTCTCTGGTCTGTAGGTCGAACCTCTAACTGCTGAGCCAAACTGGCCAGGGCCATTCTGGAGATTTTACCTTCTAAATATCTCTCAAGTTCACCTACTCTTCTCCCTTATGCATCAATACCCGCTCGGTCCAAGTCACCAACTACAACAGCTTCTGAACTGGTACCCAACTCCCACTCTTGCTCCCTCCCAATTTATTGTCCTCTGTGCTGCCAGATTGAACTTTCTGAAATATGCATTGGATCACAGCATATCACATCACATCTCCCCTCAATCTCAAAACTCTTCTGTGACTTCGCGTTCCCCTTAGGAGCCAGGAAATCCCCCGTAAGGCTGCAAGGCTCTGCCTGGTCTGGAGCCTCTCACACCCCCTCCTTCTGCTGCCATCCATGTCTTGGTGGAATTTACGGGGCAGGCTGGCTTCCCTGCTTGGCTTGGGAAGCCCAATAACATACTTACAATCCTCTCTTAGGGTGAGAGTATCCTGCAGGTGGCTACTAATATCCAGTTGGTGTTCTTTATTAGATTCAGTTAGTAAGAGAATCTAGTCTTTTAATCCTGGGAATACACTTGTCATGGAGCCCGAGACCCTCTACAAACTATCAGAAACTGTGTGGTTCCGGTTAAGAGGCATATTTTGTGCAAAGAATGAACTGTTTTTTAAAATGTAGATTTGTCTGATTTTCTTTGATTATGAGACTGTGATCCAGGATATTCCCAGGGGAAATCACTCTTTAGAAACCCTTTCTGTGTCTCTACAGATTTTTTGTTTTCCCATTGTAGCCATGGAAATAAAGAAGACTTCTCTTGCCGGGGAATCCAGCTGGCTGTGGATTGGTTCAGGGAAAGAGGACACACCTACATCAAAGTTTTTGTCCCATCCTGGAGGAAAGACCCACCAAGACCTGATAGCCCTATTAGAGGTATGCTGGAGCAGATACGTGCTCGTGAGGTGCTATTTACCTGTCCTCAGTGGTACTCCTGCAATGATGCACAGTGGGTTATCTACAGAGCTACTTGGTTGATGATGTCTGTCGGTCTTACGGGACTATGAGCTCCATGAAGGCACTCTGTGTGCTCCCTTTCGTGGTCCTGGAACCTAACACAACCCCTGGCATTGAGTAGGTGCTCAATATGTAGTTGCTGAACAAATTACTACATCTTTTAGTGTCAATGACTGAGTTCCAAAACAATTGTGTTTTACAACTTTTAACACTCTACAGAAACATTGGATCTGCGTCCCACCCCTCATAGTATATAGGATCTGAAAGAGACTTTTATTTGGTCTGGTGATATTTATTTATTGACTCCATAGTCCAATCTCTTCATTAAAAAAAGAAGAAGAAAAAGAAAGAAAGGAAGAAAATTGAGACTGAGACCCAGGGAATTCCTTAGTTTTAATTCTTTTATCAGATAAGAATATTTTAAGCTACAAAAGCAGGGCTTTGTTTTTGTTTGGCTTTCTTTTCACCAGAAGTCAGGTGCTGAGCAAGCCACTGCCTTGTTTCAGCCAAGTCAACAGAAGGCTCCTCCCGGCGATTCTGGGAGATTTCTTTGACTTTGTCTTCCATCCTTTTACCTAAAGGTTTTGTTTTTAATTCTATCAATGCTTCTACTTCTCTTTTGGATTCTCTTGTCTTATGGATGCAGTTATCTTTTTTACTATTTTTATAGACTGTCACACATTCTCTTAAGTTCCACAAATCATATTATTTTTCCTGTGGTCAGTTCTCTTTGTTCTCTCTCTCTCTCTCTCTCTCTCTTTCCGTTGTTAGGTTTTTTTCAAAAGCCTGGTGATCTTTTGGTTGTCAGTTTTTATTTGTGAATAAAAACACCAGACTGGTTAAATAACTGTTTATGTATATAAATATCTGTGCGATTGCCATGGGCTTCCTTTCTTAGTGTTCGGGTCCTTCCCTGAATGGCTGGGCTGACCACCGGTGCTGACCGCAGCCTAGTGTCCCCTGCACGAGCAGGCAGGCATCTGGGCCACCAAGATGATGACCTTACCCTAGAAGGTCAAAGGCCACATGGGAACCTCCTCTTCCTAGTTAGAGCTTCACTTTTTGTTTGCTTAGGCATAGGAAAAGGATGGGTACCACTGCCCCCCTCGGCCTTCTACACACATTCTGGTCTATGGCTCCCACTGCACTGTAGGGTCAATATGATCTACTTTCTGTCTCCCTAAAATTTGTCAAAGTCCTGGGTTTGCTGCTGTCCCCAAACTCATTTTAAATGTGATCAGGGATCCCCTCCCCTTTTGGACTTCTTTGCTGCCATTTCAATGGGATTGTGAGAAGCGGGGGCATAAGCACTTGTTCTTCATCGTGAACTGGTTACCCCAGATTGTTCCCTGTGGGCTGAACACGGAGAACGGTGGCTTTCCAGGTCGTGTCATGTTTAAATCTAGTATGGGCAAAGAGTAGGGGAATCAGCTTGGGCTAGGGAAGGAATTTTTCAACAAGCCACAACAAGTGCAAATTTGTGGGAGAAAGATTCATAACGTTGACTACACTAAAATAAAAGCCTCTGCTCATTAGGGGTTACCACAAGGACAATACAATGAAAAGATGAGCCTCAGACTGGGAGAGGCTCTGTATCAGGTTCCTGCTGCAGGATTACTGTCCAGAATCTATAGCGAATGACTCCAAATGAATAAGACAAAGGACCAATAGAAAGACGAGCTGAAATGCACGAATAGGTCTTTCACAGAAAACATAAACGGCCAATAAACATATGAAAATATGCTCAATCTCATTAGTAACGAGAGACATGCAAAATGAAACCACAACAAGAGGCCACCTTACACCCACCAAATTGGCAAAAATTCAAAACCCTGAAAATGCCTAGTGTTGACAAGGTTGTCTTAGCGCCGGGCTGGGTTGCTGGTAGTAACTTGATATAACCACTTGGGAAACAGCGGGGCATTGTCCTGTAAAGTGCCTCGCCCTACAACCCAGCCGTATCGCTCCTAGCGATGTGTCCCAGAGAAACCCTTGCATTTCTGCGCCCGGAGACTTCCGTGCACAGCTGACAGCAGTGGCCAAACCGCACCGACACCATGTTAGATGGAGCAAGTTGCATAGGAATATGTGCAGTGTGAGTGCATCTGTGTACAGTCTAGAGGTTTATAATCACATGGAAAACAGTCCTTTTGGGGGATGCATTTTGTATTTTGCAAAATGAAAGTAAGGGAATTACAAACACATAGTTCAAAGTTTGGTTACTTAAGGGGGAGTAAAGAGAGATGCAAACCGGGGAGGGGGAGGGGGCCATCAGAAGCAGGGGCCATGTTCTGGTCACAGGGAGTGCTGCCTACGTGGCATTTCAAAAAAATGTCTTTGTATTTTGATGCATCATGTACTTTGAAAAGTCTGAAAATTATGTCATATAGGAAAGGACTTCGACCTGAGGGAAGAACCACGTGTGAAGCTGGAGCTCTGCCCCTCTGAGCTGGGTCCGAGCTCCTAGCGGCTGCTTTGTGTAGACGCCTTTGTTTGCCTGTGTCCTAAGGCAAAACTATGGTCAAAGAGCAGACCTTCCAGGATGTGGCAGTTAGCTCCGGACGACACCTTGTAACATTCGTGCCCCCTGGTACATGTGCACCTCCCGCCAGTCCTGAGCATACCCAGTCTACTCACAGACACTGTGAGCAAGTGGAGGAGCTATTATCCTCGTTTTATAAATGCAAACACTATGTTCAAAGAGGGGTGAGGTCCCCAAGAGCTGGAGCTAAGATCAGAATCTAAGCTGTAGATTTTTAAAAAAATCTTTATTGTTGAAACTATGACAGATGTTCCCCATTTTTTCCTCATTGACCCCATCCTCCCCGCTCCCACCCCACCTCCTGCCTTCCCCACACTATTGTTTGTGTCCATTGGTTGTAGGCTGTAGATTCTTTTCTTTTTTATTATTAATTTGTTTTTGTTACAGATGTTTCTCATTTTCCCCCCACTGACACCCTCCTCCCCTTCCACCCCCCACCCCTCCCTAGCTTTGTTGTCTATGTCCCTTGGTCATGCATACATGCATGTAAGTTCTGTGGTTTATCTCTTTTCCCCCAAGCCCCCCCTCCTCTGAGGCTTGTCAGTCTGTACCGCACCTCTATGTCTCTGGGTTAATTTTGTTCAGCAGTTTGTTTAGTTCATTATATTCCACAAATAAGTGAGATCATGTGATATTTGTCTTTCTCTGCTTGGCTTGTTTCACTTAGCATAATAATCTCCAGGTCCTTCCATGCCATCTCAAAGGATAAGAGATCTTTCTTACAACTGCATAGTATTCCATTGTGTATATGTACCACAGCTTTTTTATCCACTCATCTACTGATGGACACTTGGGCTGTTTCTAGATCTTAGCTATTGTAAATAGTGCTGCTATGAACATAGGGGTACATACATTCTTTCTGATTGGTGTTTCAGGTAGGCTGTAGATTCTTAATCCTGGACTCTTCCCATGACATTCTTGTGTCCTTCAAAGCTGTCACTTATGAGATGCTCTATCCTGAAGGTGTCCCAAGCAGACTCCTGTGTCTGCACAGAGGGTCTCAGCTAAGGGCCCATGCAGGAACCTTAGAGGTGGATGCCAGGATCCTGGTAATTCTGAAGGCACTGCCCAGGTTCCAGTTGTAAGATGAATTTCTCCAGAAAAAGTCCTCTGGTGTCCACAGTGACTTTTCCTTGTAGATACCATACTCCAGACTTCTCCTGACTCAGGCGGACAGAAGTCAAGAGCCTGCTTGACCCGGGGCAGGGGCCTCCTCTGTTGTTCTGTTTCTGCATTACCCAACTCTTCTGCCCCGGGGCACCCCAAGCTCAAGACCTCCTCGCTCTCTGACATTCTGGGCTATAGGATGGGGAGGCAGGAGCTGGTTCAGAGGGGACCCTGGAGCTGCCAAATGTGCTCCCTGATCTTAGGATGGTCCTTTAGGGTGGGGAGTCCCCCTGAGAAAGCTGCTCCATGCTGTCCGCACCCTGCGCCCCCAGAGCAGCACGTGCTGGAGGAGCTGGAGCGGCAGGCGGTGCTTGTGTACACCCCGTCCCGCAAGGTGAACGGCAAGCGCGTGGTCTGCTACGACGACCGCTACATCGTGAAGGTGGCCTACGAGCTGGACGGCGTCATCGTCTCTAACGACAACTACCGTGACCTGCAAAGTGAGAACCCCGAGTGGAAGTGGTTCATTGAGCAGAGGCTGCTCATGTTCTCCTTCGTCAACGACCGGTATGTGGTGGCCGAGGGGGCCTGGCACGGTGGGTTGGGGGTAAGGGGAAGAAACCACTCCAACCAGCCTAGGCCCGGCAGAGCTGGTGGTCACAGGACACCATGCCAGACGCACAGGACACCCAGCCCTGGAGACAGCTGGTCCGAGGTGGCCCTTTCCGTTCCCATAGACCACACAGTCTCTGTTCTCCTGGGTCTCCTCTCTTTGGTGACCAGCTTTCTCCAGCAGGACTATTTTGCCCCAGTTGTCCGTGACCTTTCTGTTCCTGAGTCCACATCCAGCTGACCTGGCACAGAGCTGTCCAGCCGGTGGGCCAAGCATGGGCTGGGGGCACCGTAAACTTGTGTTTTTATCTTTAAAGAATTTAATGCTTCTAATAAGAGCCCTGGAACAGCCATCGGGGGGAAGTCTGAACTTGGTTGTACTTCCTTTCTCTGGTTTTGCCTTCCTTTTTTAAAAAAATCACACGAGGGAGTGGCCAGCATCATCTTTGGAGCCACCAAGATCTTGGGACTGACTCTGACTCAATACCTCTTGGTTGAAATTTTCAGGGGAATCTGCTTGGTTCATCTATCCCCTAGGCCGGTTCCCCCGGTCAGGTTTATCCTGGACTAACCAGCTACACGAGAGTCACAGGCACAAGGTGCTGGGTGAGGGCCCCAGACCAAGCCGGGGAGGAAGCATGGCTGGTCCGCAGCCACCGTGCTCAGGCACACAGAGGGCACAGGTCAGGGGCCGGCGGCGTGGGCGGGGGGCTGAGACTAGCATAGGGTGAGACAGTGTGGGGAGGGCACGGCAGGCTGGCACTTCACTCCCACTTCAGTTTCTGTTCCAGCAAATGATAGCTTGGTTCTCATTCTGGGCTCTCCACTGGCTTTCAGGAACGTGGTTTGCGACAAGCTGCCCAGCTCTGTGAAGGCAGCACCGTGTCTTACATGCCGTGGCCCCGCATGCCTGGCACGTGGCGGGTGCTCAACAACAGTCTGTGGAAGGGAGAGTGCGGAGGGAGGAGGCCACACGTCAGCTGGCTCAGGCCACTTGCACACCAGTCCCGGACCCTGAAGGCCCGGGAGGCAGTGCGGCACAGTGCAAAGAGCTGGGCCTTGGGGGGCAGGCGGCAAGGTTTAAACTGAAGCTCTGCGGTTAACTGGGTGTGTGTTATGGGGAAATCACTCAACCTCACTGAACTAAACCTTCTTTCTTCACCTTGAGTTACCGTACTCAGATTAATCATATGTATGTCTCAGATGGTTGTGAGGATGGGAGAGAATTGTACCCCATTATTCTCAGGCCAGGCCGGGACACAGTGCCTCCAGGGGACACTGTTGTCCCCACTACTACCTGCCACACAGCTGCAGAGGTGGAGGACTCTCCTGAGCCCTGGGGCAGGTGCTCGCAGTAGCTACCTGCGGTTGCCCCCATGGTCATTTCCACATACACAAGGCCAGCAGCTCCCTCTAGCCGGCTCAGGCCTGGAGGAATCTGGTGAGTCTGGTAACTGTGGCTTCCAGAAAATCCTCACTGAGTTCTGACGGATCATGGCTGCCTCTGGCCTGGTGACAGCCTGGGGCCCAGGCCAAGTTTTTTATGCACGGGCCTCTGCTGAGGGTCTGCCAGAAGGTCGCCTGGCTGCCAGAGGCAGAGCCTGCCCGCCTGCCCATGGGCGAGGATGCCCACCCCAGTGCCCTGGGCACGTCCATTGGGCCCTCTTGGCCCAGCTAGCAGCTGCGAGGCCGGGAGAGAGCAGGAGGTGAAGCCTTTGGGAACTTTTAATAACCGCAGTGAGCCGCTCCCCAGATTCTTGGTCAGGGCCCAACTCTGAGAAGCCGGCTGTGTTACTGGGATGTGAGCTGGGGAGGCTGCCCAGGGATCCCCCAGCTGCGGGCCAGCCTGGTGGGTGTGGTCTGCAGGGTGGGACCTCAGCATGACCCTTAACTCTTAGGGGGACACCAACTTGTAAAAACAGGCCCTCTGTTTAGAATCCACAACCCCTCCAGAGGAGCCTTTGTGTGACCTGGCAATGTCTCCTGGGAACAAAAGTATTCATATAAAAAAGTGGATTATTAAACCAGGGGAGTTCTCCCTCTCAGGAATGTTGTTTTCCCCTTTGAGCTGTGAGCACCCTGAAGATGTGTTCCCTTCCTGGGTAGACTCAAAGCCAGGGAGAGGGGCAGAGGCAGGAGGGACAGGTGGGGCAGGGTGGGGCAGAGAACACGGCCGGGCTCAGGCGGCCCTGGAAGCTGAGACCAAACCCGCCCAGAGCCCCGGCTTTGCAGAGGAGGGTCAGGTCTGCGAAGGCTGAGTGTGCAGGCAGCACCTGGGATCCGCAGCTGTGCTGACTCGCCAACGGTGTTCCAAACTCTGTTCATATTAATCCCACCCTGTCTATGCCCAGAGCTGGGGGCTAACTGCAGAAATGGGGTTGGAGCCACAAGGAGCTGTTTGCAGCCCCACGGAGGTCTTTAACTTTCTCTGTCGAGGACAAGGGGAAGGCAGCTCAGAGTTGCTTTGGGGGGCGGGGCTGGCTGAGGGCAATTATGCTTCAATTTGAGTGGATAAAAATTACCTGGGGCATTGTTAAAATAAAGATTCTTGAACAATGTGGGATTCTGATTAAGTGGGTCTAGTAGGAAGCCAGAGAGCCACATTTGGAAAGGAGTTGCTAGGTGATTCTGGTCCCACTGGCTTGAATGTCAGCAGGAGAAACTTGGAAGAGGCCCAGGGGCTGCTCTCCTGGGATCGTGCTGTGCTTCATGCGGGTTCAGTGAGAAGGGCTGTGCTGTTTAACACCCTGTGACCCCCTGGGTGCGGGAAGAGCCCTGGCTGGTGAGCCTGGCTGGGGTCAAGCCTGGGGCTGCCATTCCCTTGCTGGGAGCTCTTCTTGCAGGTGGAATTGTTGAGTCCCTGTTGGTCATGCAGTGACCCCCCTGTGCTTGTTTCCTAGGTTCATGCCTCCCGATGACCCCCTGGGCCGCCGGGGACCCACCCTGAGCAACTTCCTGAGCAGGAAGCCAAAGCCCCCAGAGCCGTCCTGGCAGCACTGCCCATACGGTGTGTGACACCTCGCACCGCGTGGGCCCCGTCCAGGGCCTCGTGTCTTGATGGCAGTTTCTGACAGGGCTCCCTGTTGCATGGAAGTATTCAGGGGTCACACCCAGGGCCAAGCTAGTGCCCGAAGTAGGAAGGCTTTGTGTTCCCCAAGCTCCCCTTTCTCAGTCCCATCCTGCTCCCACCATCCTCCACCCTGTATCCTTACGGACTTTGGTCAGTGCTATCCATGAAGAGTTAAGGATTTTATCCAGAGCCCTCCAGGGTGCCAACCTGCTAGCCAGCTCTCACTAACTTGCTTTGGCAAGTTATCCAATGCCCCTAGGCCTTGGTTTTTGTACCAACAGAAGTTCAAAAAGCCTTAGGTAATAGGTAGAGTCATTTCATCGAGAATTAGGGTGAAATACATTCAGATTGACACATCCTGCTCCCTTTCACTCTCAAAGGCGCCCAGGTTGTGATGATAAACTACCTGATCACCTGTTAGGACCGTCTGTAGGAAGAGGGCGATGGTCAGCACAGAGCTGTGGGTAAATGGAAACTGAGGTAGCACTGGAGGTGCAATCCTAGCCATAAGTACCCACTGCCCACCCCGGCTGCACCCCCAAGCTTCGCCCTATGCACAGTGTCCCTGGGAAAGTAGCGACTGAAGGTAATTGGATCAAGAAATTTGGTCTCAGTCCCTGGCCAAAGGGAGTTCCTAGACTGACACCACCTGGCTGACACTGGGGTTACTGCGCCCAGCGCCCCGTACCACAAAGCCCCAGGGCACTTCTCCCCACCTCGTCCCCCAGCCCTGATAACTCTGCAGCCTGGGCACTTTCCGTGAACAATCCCCGGGGGAAAGCCGCGGGCAGGTACTGCTCACTGCAGCGGCCGCACAGCCTCTCCCGCCCGAGGCTCACCCAGCGCCCTCTCTGTCCTCTGCCCTTTCCAGGCAAGAAGTGCACCTACGGCATCAAGTGCAAGTTCTACCACCCGGAGAGGCCGCACCAGGCGCAGCTGGCGGTGGCCGACGAGCTCCGCGCCCAAACGCGGGCCTGGCGGGGCGCGGGCGCCGACGAAGAGCGGCCGAGGGCCCGGGCGGAGCAGGGCGGCCCCCGGGGCGGCCCCGCCGCCACCGCCTGGCCGGGACCCCGGGAGCCCGGCGCGCGCAGCCTGTCCCCGGCGCGGAGGGCAACCGACGTGATGGGCCTCGAGGGCGGCCTCCTGCGGCTCGGCCTCAGCGACGACCCGAGAATCCTCGGGGCACCCCCTCCCGGCCTCGGGCCCCGGCCGCGCTGTCCCAACCGGGTGGCGCCGCGGGCTCCACTGTCCCTGCCAGTTCCACCCGGCCGCCGGAACGTCCAGAGCCAGTCGGGCCGGCTGGTTCGGCCCCGGGCTGGGGACTGCCTCGGGGACCCGCAGAGTGACCCGTTAGCCCAGGGAAGGCCGCCCTCCAACCCGTGGGCCCTGCCGCATGAGGCCGCCCGCTTCCCTGGGCGCTCAGCCTGGGCGGAGTTGGGCTGGGGCGAAGGCGCCTTCTGGGGTCCTTTGGGGTCCACTTCCCGCGCCGCGGCCAGCGAGGGGGACGAGCGCGCCGGTGCACGCAAAGCACTTTGCAGCATCTTCCCGCCCCACTAGGTGGACAGCGTCCTAGGCCTGTTCCCCGCACTCTCCGAGGTCACCAGGCCCATCGTCCTCATCCAGAGATTCCGCAGGCCTGGTGCGCCCGTGGGAAACCCCTAAGGAGCGAGTCCAAGTCACTTTCCGTGATGTCCTGACTTTGCCGGTGGTTGCCTGCTTACCCCTGGGTGGGCCCGTGCGCGAGCGTGTGTGTGTGTGTGTGTGTGTGTGTGTAAGGGCTCCCTTTTCTTTAAAGATGGCAGGGAAGCCAGCTTCTTCACCCTCAGCCATGCTCATGGTGGCACTTAGTGACTCTCACTGTTGACGCAGGGTCGCTGCCGGAGTCGAGTCCTGCAGACGAAGGCTGGCTGCCTCTGTGGCCGGAGTGACTTCTGCCGCGAGACTGCTAGCCTCCCAGCGTTTGCCTGGAACTCAGCTGCAGTTGGGATCCACAAGTGGGTCACAAGGTCAATGTAGGGGGTCACAGCAGAAATGGAGTGTAATAGGAGGACGTCCCGGGGCACACCCCACATAATCAGGCTAAGTACATATGGAACTGTTGTTTGATAGCTATGTGTGTGCCTGTGTACCCATGTACATTTAATGTGGGTCATGGGCAGAAGTTTGAGAAATCCTGGTAAATGGTCTTACATTTCATTGCAGCAATTCATGTTTGAAATATTCAGTCAGTTGGCCAGTGGCGACTTTGGCACCTGGAGGTTTTCATATGAGCTGTTTCTCTTGTAGCCTCATGAGGGCAACGCAGAGTTCTAACCTTGATGGGTGGGCTCCTCTTGTCACCGAAGTTGTGTGTCTGCTAGTCTGTGCAGGTGTGACAGGGGCACATTGTCCTGAGGTCCTGCCTGTGGGGCCTTCAGCCCCTTTGCACAGTGCCCACACAGACATGTACACACACAGACATGCCGTTTGACTCAGGGACAAGCGGTCTAGCAGAGGCCCTCTCCCGGTGGAGGCTCCAAACCACGGTCACAGCCCAGGCCCTTCTGTTCAGAAACCTCCAGGTTGGTTAGAGGCGAGCTGTGCTGCGCCTCAGTCCCAGAGGCTTTTGCCACCTTACACGTTACTGTTTTTACCATCCAGCTACTGATTTGAGTTTTGGGCTGTAGTGCTCCACCCATTTGCAGTGGACAAGAAATTACGATTGCAAATGATGTTGCCAGAGCACGGACCTTGTGTCCTCAGGCACCTCAGAGCAGTGTCCACCCACTCATTCTGGGTTACGAGTCCAGTTCTGCAGGTCTTGGCTGATTTGTTCATAAATGGACTTGGTGGCTTGGCTGTGGCAGAGACTGTGAGGCACCTCTCAATGGAAGACTAGCTGCCAACCCCTGCAAGCTTCCTGCAGACTGGCTAGACCAGGGGAAACTGTTTTTGGTGTGTTACTCGGCTGCACTGTTGGCACAGCCCAAGGTGCACCCTGGGAGAACCTGCTCCTGGCCCTTTAATTCATAATCAGTGCTGCCATTGGAGGGATGGTGACGCTCTGTCTGCCTGTGATCCCTGTCATCTTTTAAACCAGATTCTTAGCCGGGCTTCAGACAAATCTGTTTCTCACTTCTTTTTTCTATAAGAAGACACAGCAGCCGAAATTGTACCTTATTATTTTGGGACTTTAGTCATGAAGCGGGTCTACTCTTTCCAGATATAGTTGACCCCTCTTCCCTTTTTTTATGGCAATGGCTTTTATTTTATTTTATTTTTTGGTGTTTCTTTTCATTGACAAGACAAGCTTTATGTTAGAGCTGCCATTGTCTCTTGGGTCTGTCTCCTGGTGTGGAATCATTGCATTGCTGGTTTATAGTTGGAAATGTTTAAACTTGCTTCCTTGGAGGACAAGGTTGAGCTGTAGTAAGCTGTAAAGCTATTGTATTCGGTTCACTATGGTTAAGACAAGCACAAGAACAAGTGAAGAAACAGCACATTTCCATGTAATCCCCTTTGGAATTTTTTTCCAAAGTCTTGGTATGTCTTTGTGACACAAAACACGGATGGGATGGGTGAATGAAATGTTCCTAGTTGCATAGCTGTTACCATGCTCCAAAAATAAATCACTTTTACCCACACCTGGGCTCTTCACTGTCAAGTTGTATACCCGTTTCTCCCGTGTCACTTTCCCCCTAGGCTGGTTTTTCATGTTAAATACTGTGGCCGTGAAGACTGAGGCTGCTCTATTCAGTGTGACTCCACCCTTGGGAGGGGGAGGGGAGGGGGCTGGAATCCACCTTTTCCAGGAGAGGCATCGAGGCTCCAGGCAAGGACATGCCTTTGCTGGCTGTTCAGCAGGCTGTTCCCAAGGACACAGGCTGCTTACCTGTCTGCTCGACTTTTAAAGTCCTCATTAGAGGACAATGAAGCTGTAAAAGCTGCTCCTCTTGTGCGAGCCTGCAGCCGACTGCACGGTTGCTCAGACCTGAAGAGCCCGGTGCTGGACCACGATCACGCGGGTGCAGCTTCCTCAAGGCCTCGGGAAGGTTTCAGGCAGAATTGCAGAATGTTGGGGGTTGAGGGGTAGAAGCAAGAGAAGCCACTCCTGCTGGCATTGCTCCAGATAAAATGAATCCCAGCTCTCAGGACTTTACAGAGAACTCAGAGGGGGAGCGAGAGCTGACTGCCAGCTGGCTCCCCGTGTGACTGCATGGCTCCCTGCCGCTGGGAGAAAAGTCCCCTGTGAGGAGGAAGAGCACGGGGTGGCTGGGAGGCGAGGGGAAGAGGCGGGGGTGGGGTGGGGTGGGGGGGTGGGGAGGGGCCTCTGGGAACTGGAGCAATTAATTGGAATCACAAATCCCACCATGAGAGAATGCTCAGAGCCAGAACCAGCTACATAACATGTGGGCCCTGTGCAAAATTAAAATACAAATCCCCTTGTTCAAAAGTGATCAAGAATTTCAAGACGGTGAGAGCAAAGCATTCAGCCAACCGTGGGGCCCTGTGTGCGGTTACCTATAGGACAAGCAAGAACATTCTCCATACTGAGTGTGTTTGTAACAAAACACTGAGTGAAAGGAGTCGGAGCCAGGATGAGCCACGCACATTTTATAGCTGGGAAAGGGCAGTGCATCCAGGGCAGGTGCTGGGCCCCCGAGCCTCACCCTTGGGGACTGCCCACTGCACCTGCGCGAGGACTGAGTGGGCCTCCCTGCGTTTTCCTGCTCACTCTGATGCAAGAAGCTAAAAAGGAGAAGTCGAGGGGCTTGGGCAAACCACATGCTGAACGGGCCACTTCCAAATGAGAGGTCGGTAGGGGTGGCTCTACCCAGGCAGCAAGTACACTGGTTTGTATTAGGCCAGGCTCTTCGGTTCCAAACCTGGCTCACAAACCCAGTGGCGGGAGGCCAGGGGTGAGGAGTGGAAGCAGCTGGGGGGCTGGCTGGAAGTAGGGGCTCGCTCATCTGTTTTCTAATGAGTGTTGGATTATTCTCTCTTTCTAAGTTTTTCCCCACATAATAAGAGCCATTCTGTTGGCAGACCGGGGCACAGATGCTTTTAGCTAAAGGACTCAAGAAGCAGCCTCAGAAAAATCCTGGGGAGAATTCTGATTGGCTGGCTTGAGTCACCTGCCCGCCAAACCAAGCACTGTGAAGTACAACCATTGGTCCAGCCAGGTCCAGTGCCGCTAGGATAAGGGTATATATATACTGTGATTGTCAGCTCCTACCTGCACCCACTAGTTGGTGGGGGTTCAGGGGTTGATGGGGATGGCGCATAGTTCCCTCAAAGAAGTGGAGGCAGTGTCCAGGCAGAGAAGACAATGCCCACCATAATGTTAGAATCTGGGGACAGTGCCAGGATTTAGGATGACCCCACCCACCTCCACCCCTAACTCTGGTCCTACCCGAGAAAGGAACTGCTGTGTTTAATCTCTTTTTCCCTTAGTCAGGAGAAACCTTGTGTCTGCCCATCCACAGACAACAGGGCTTTCTGTGGAGGAAGTTGGAAGGACCAGGGGCTACAGTGCCCCAGGTATCCTGGGACTGTGCCCAGGTGAGCACTTAGGTGGGAGACCACCAAACATCCCTGCAGGGGAGGAAGTGACTCTTCAGAGTCAAAAGTAACCATGTTTCCTTTGGCTCACTTCTGAACTGATGTTGCCTGGAGCTCAGGAAGCTCCCCGCCCGAGTCACAGCAGCTCAGCCCAGCCGCTGACAGCGGACAGTGAGGGCCGAGGGCCTGACCCAGCCGAGCCATCGCTCTGTTCCGAGTTCCCGAGGCAACGTGCCACCTCTCTGTCCTTGTGGACGAGTGACGCCCATGATATTGTAGGAGGGTGGTAACGACTACCGATGTTGGGCATGTAGTATGAAGTGTAAAGTAGATTATAAAAAGAACTTACCATATCATCTTTTTTGTTAAGGAAATACATTTTATATGCACAAAATATAACCAAAGGAAATTCTCTAAAAGATAACAGAATATATCTGGGTGATGGGATTATAATTACAGGCGACTCTCTCCTGCTTTTTGTATCTCTATACAAGTGATACCTCGGTTCTCGAACATAATTCGTTCCAGGAGGACGGTCGAGAACCAAATTGTTCGAGAACCGAAGCAATGAAACCCAATAGGAAATAATGGAAACTGGATTAATTCGTTCCAAGCCCCAGAAAATGCCTATTTACTGGCCTAATTTGTATATAATATGTAGAAAAACATAAGTCTCAACAAGAAATAAAAGTGTACAGTATGTCTAAGGGTTAAATTCAGTGTAAAGCGTGACTCTCTCCACACAGCGTGACTCTCTCTGCACTCACACTGAGGACGCGAGCAAGGCGCGCTGGGCCCAATGAACGCCATTCGGCTCAACTCAGCTCATCTCGGAAGTTCGAGTTCCAAATATTTGTTCGGATTCCAAGACAAAAGTTTCTCGAATCTCCTGGTCGAATACCGATTTGGTCGAAATCCGAGGCGTTCGAGAACCGAGGTATCACTGTTATTTTTCTAAATCTTCTCTAGTTAATATCTTGGTAACAAGAAAAAAAATTCCTTACTAAACAATGCTG